CAGCTGGCCTACTTGGGTCCCCTCCCAGGATCTTGCCCTCAACTGAGGAAGGAATATTACTGTGTTGGTGCTGTGCTCAGCAGTAACCAAAACAGCGGTGTGTTATCAACACCCTTCTAGCTGCCAATGCAAAGCACAGCACTGTGAGGGCTACTGTGGGGAAATGAACTCCAACTCAGTCAGACCCAGTACAGAGGGAAAGGGATTATGGGATGTCTGGCAAGTGGATTACATTGGTTCTTTCAGAAAATCAAATGGGAAAACATATGTACTGGTTGGAATAGAAATAATTTCTGGATTGACATAAGATGGAGCTGTCTCAAGAGTAACTGGGGAAAATACCATTAAAACCTTGCAGCTATGGTTCAGTTGTTTGCCAAAACCTAAATCAATGCAATCTAATAACGATACTCACTTTCCTGCAAAAGCAGTACAGGATTGGGCCAAGGTTGAAGGTATACAATGGGTATTCCACACCCCCTTACTTCCCTCAGGCCAATGGTACAGTTGAAAGGACCAATGGTCTACCAAAACAGTTTCTCAAACTACACGAATATGGATGAGCAGACCGCTTTTGGGATGCAGTGACCAAAATAAATGAACCATGAGGAGTTAATGGATGCCCCTGACTTACTGCCTTTTGTCCAATTGCTCCCACAATAATAACCAACTCATCAGGTACAGATCATCCCAGAACTCCACCATTGGCTAGGTACCACTAGTTTTGAAAACCCCATTGAACAAATATGCTTGTATAACAATAGATGCTCACAGTAAAGAACATAAAATTAGTACCAGATGGATTATCCAATCATTTTAATCTGGTTCTTGACCAAACCAAGTTGTTTTCTCTGATCTTTTACAGGGGGAAGTCTAAACCTGAAAGGATGAAGTAGAAACTCTTCATACGATTTATACCACATTATGTGTTGGTTTTTTATTTGTAGGAATAATTGTAGTTTTGGTATATATGTGTTGTCCTTTTTGCATATGTGGATATGTTCATCCACCGCTGAGACCGGGGCACCAACCTCAGGGAACAGAAGTCATAATTCTACAAACCTTGCATTGGAATTAATTTTAGGGTTTACACATGTTTGGAATCAGACAGATCAGGGGATTTGTGTGGCTTTCCCTATATCAGCAGGGCAGGGCCTGAGATTTTTTGCAACACCCACAGATCTGACAATTTATGTGAACCACAACTTCAGAGACAACCTTATACCTTTATACCTTCCCCCTGGTGGTTAAAAAGTAAACTGGCTTTGAAATGGAGGATCCATTACCTGTTAATTGAGGAGAAAACTGAGGTCATAGAATGTAGCAGCCAAGCGTGACAAAGGCCTGAAGAATGTTCAGATGACCTTGTATTGTTTTCTCTAAGCCATGATTTATTGCCCAGGGAGAGATGAACTCTACAGTTTGTGATTCACCATGCCGGAGTGTGAAGAGGGGTAACTTGAAACTCCAGGGTCTGTGTGTGTGTCTGTGTGATAGGCCGGCCTGAGAGAGTGATGGATGTGTGACTTGCAGCTGTGTTCTGTCTTAATTTGCTTAACCACTCCCAGTTGAAAGTGAATGCGATAAAACCCCTGATCATGGGCAATAAAGCAATTTCTGTCCATCGAGTCAGGAGTCCATAATTCATTCCATCATAGTAAAACGCTCCTGGTTCCCACATCAAGTAGGACTCAGTGATACATATTTTGCATATTATAATAACACAGTAGGATTTTGGAGTGGGAATACATGTAACGTGTCACACCCAGAAGTCAATGTTTCACTGAACTCCAGAGAGATTGGCATACCCGTGGTGATCAAGGAAGATACGCTATAACCAGGGATGTATCGAATTCCGAAATCCCTAACCAATAGGGCTCCTTGTCAATCTTTCCCCTTTGATTCCATTTCTCATCCATTAAGACAACGGGATTATTATGAAGCACCATATGTGCTAAAGGTTAATTTTTCATGGTGTATAGAATTACCCAGTGGGGCAGTAACATTACCTATAAATGCTTCCAACTGTATGTGGATGTGGTCAAGAGAGAACCCTATTTTAAAGCCTTTGAAGTACATGAACACACCACCTCAACAAACGCATGCACACTTGTTCCAGTGTGCAAAGGTATTCAATTGTACTACAGGACCTGGGGATCCCCTTGAGACTTGGCTGACTGAGAAAATACGTGTCTTAATACGTGATGTGTATCTGTGTGGGATACCCCTCTATGGGATTTCAAAATTAAGACTCGCTGTGTAATTCTATGGAAAATTTCAAGACTTATTGGACCCACATCCAGCAAGTGCAGTATTGTGGAATCCCTCACATCCACTACCCATTAAAGAATATTTTGATTACATCATCCCCCCAAATGTATTTGATAGACTACAATGACACCTGGATTTGCAAGACAAGCAGCTATCCTGCACCACTTGAATTAGTTTGAGGATGTTATGATGGAAAGTTTTACTCATGGTTGACTCTAACTCAGCACACTGGTCTGAGGTGTGGGAATAGTACTCCCATCCGTTTGTCCAAATCTTGTCTTTCATTATTCATCGGTAAGAAGGGCACAGCAGGAACTAGGTTCTCCTGAATTGATACCTTGGAGTTTTGATGTTTTGATTTTTTTTTTTTAATTTTTGTAGATCTTAGAAGTAGTTATGTAGTAAATGTAGCTTTTAGAGTAGCAGCATATTATCCCTTTACCCTTTAACATACCAGCTACACATAGTAAAACCCTGTTACTCATTCCCATATCAATTCCCATAAATTCCACTAGCCTGTTTTGTCTCTTTTTCAAGGTAGAATTATAGAGAACACCCTAACCCTATGGAAGAAGATATAGCCATAGACTCAACAACCTTCAGGCTTAGAATTCTGGAAGGCCTCCAAGAACATTATGCACTCTGAGGAAGATGAAGAAGAGGGGGTCCCAAAATGCCCCCAGACCCAATTCCCAAGAGGCGTGGCGGGGGCAGAACCTGGGTTGTGGCTGGACGAGGATTGGGTGAAAATCATTATAAAAACTGTGAACATCTGTATTCCAGAGTGTGCGTTGGGGGTATTCCGGAAAGCCTGGGGGCTAATTAAAGCCTTTGCATCCTTATCTTATCTCCTACCTAATTTGACTTGGAGTCTTTTTTTCCCCACAGCCATTTAGGCAACAGTTTTTGTGGCTCCATAGGGGGACATCGGGACCTGTGACTCCTCTGGATCGATATTCCGTTTTGCAGGGATATCTTCTCTGGTCGGCATATTTTGAAGAATTCCTGCTCTGATCTCGGGGAGCCCAGTTTCTCGAACCTACCCACGGAGGTAAGATAAGGAACAACTCCTGGAGAATTTTAATTAGCAGCTGTGGGAAGGAGTTTTCCCCAGGGCTAGGGAATACGGTGAGACTGGGAAGGGAAACTTGGACTTGGGCCCAAAAAGTTGCAGTGTTTTCCCAGTCTGTTGGCAAAGGGATTTTTGCTGGAGTGGGCAGTGAAGCTGTCTGGGAAGTTTTAGTTAGGGCAGGCAGGAGGGTTTCGGGTTTCGTGTTGGCCAGGTGTGGTCGCAGAAGGGGGGGACACGCCTCCCCTGGTTGAAACTCTGTGTTTCTGCCTGAACCTGGTAGTGTTTGGATACAGAGTCTGCAGTGTGTGTGTGTGTGTGTGGCTGTGAGTTCTAGGCTGGATCTGTCGTTTTCCTCATGTATTGTTTGTTAATATGGGATGTGTACAAACTAAAGAAGAAATTCCAGAGGGAACCCCTCTCGCTTTGGTTTTACGGTACTGGGATGATTTAACTGGCCCTGAGACATCTTTAAAAAGGCAGAAGTTAGTTAGACTCTCTATGGATGTCTGGCCCTACAGCGGGTAAATTAGAGGATTAGATTGGCTGAAATTTGGTTCTTTTGAGGTAAATATAGTGTTTCATCTTATGACAATCCTTCATAAGGAGGAAATGTGGTCTGAGTTGCATTATGCAGAGTTATTCTACTTTTTCGTAACCCGTCCAAAATTGAGAAAGGAATATAAAAAGGATAAAGTTCAAATAGAAACAGAACTCCCAGAAATGGCATTAGAGTAGAAAAAGAAAAAGAAAAATCGTGCTAAACGTGATCCTAACAGTGAAATTAATCTTGAAAGCCCTGGAAATGAAGACCTGGACCTTTTAATTCCCCCAAATATGAGAATAACAAGCCCACCCCCCCCCTTTGGCTCTGGCTGCAGCGGGCATAGGTCCATCAGGAGTGGGGGTAGCCCCTGGGGCGAGTCCTGCCGGCTCGGCAGGGCCAGCTGGACCTGCGGTGCCGGGTCCAGATGCTTCGGGGGTCTCGGGTAGTGTGGACAGACAGGCTGGGACCGCTCTGGGCGGAACGGGGGCCCTGAGAACTGCTTTTAGTGCTCCGGGACTTGTGGGGTCTGCGCTGGCTGTTCCAACTGGCACGGGAGCGGCGGGAGCGACCTGGGCACTGGCCGAGCCGGCGGCAGCCCCTCCCGGAGCTGCGGGCTCTGTGGGTGTTGAGGCCGCGGGGCCGGTCCTGTCTGAAGCTGCGAGTTCCCTGGGTGTCAGTGATCGGGGGGCGATGGCCTCTCCCGAGGCTGTGGGGTCGATCCTGTCTGGAGCTGCAAGCTCTGCCGGTGTCGGGGCAGGGGCGGTAGCCCCTCCCTGGACTGCGGGGCCGTTCCTGACCGGGGCCGCTGGCCCTTTTGGTTACGGGGGGGCGGTAGCTCCCCCCTCGGCTGTGGGGCCGGTCCTGACCGGAGTCACGTGCCCTTTTGGTTACGGGGGGGGGCGGCAGTGGTTCCCTCCTGGGCCATTCCGGGAGTGCCAGGCGCAAGTGCGGTTACCATGGCAACGGGGGGTGGGAGGTTCGAATCTCAGCACTGCGGGAGGAGGAGTGGGGGCGGTGTCTATAGCCAGAGTCCCTGTCCCGGCTGACACGGAACTCTTCAGCTCTGCCATGACGGGCGGGGACGAACCCGCCCCCATCCCTTCGGCACCTCCCTACCCTACGGGGGAAGGGGGGAACCAGGGTTTAGAATTACAGCATTGGGGGAGAAGCAGGTTAAGGAGGAGCAGTTCAGTTCCAGCTATCGACAGGAGACAAAGATGGGGTCTTCCCCCTTTTGACCCCTCGAGCACAAACATTAAGACTCGGGACAGCGATTTTACTGATACAGGCACAGAAGTTTCTGAGGATGAATCAAACGATAGATTGGGGGAGGGGGAAGAGAAATCACTTGTAGTAAGACCAAAGACAGGGGGAAGAAGAGTACAAGAAGCTCTGTCAGACCCCAGCCCCGTGGCTAGTAGGACAAGAGCACAAAAGGAAAAAGCCTACTGTAGAAGCCCCCTTAAGGTAAGCCCTGAGCAACCAGGGTCCAGTTTTGATAAAAACTCCTTTTTCTCTAGGTGAATTACAACAGTGGAAAACTTCAGTTGGAACATATAGGGAAAACCCAGAAATGGTGGCTAAGTATATGAAGAGAGCAATAAAGACACAAAATCCTGATTGGGACGATTTGGAAATAATGTTAGACATATTATTAGACCCTAGTGAGATAGACATGGTCAAGAAAGTTGCCCGGGATACAATTGAGACGTTCACAACATCTGGGCAGATGCAAGGAGAACTAAAAGATATATTCCCTTCAGAAGATCCCAAGTGGGACCCCAATATACCAGAAAAAAGGGAAGCATTGAAACGCTATCAGAACTGGGTGGTTTATGGTCTTAAACATGGAATTCCAAAACCAGTAAATTGGTTGAAAATGTATACAGTGAAACAAGATAAAAATGAATCCCCTACAGATTTTCTGAACAGACTAACAGAGGCTGTACGAAAGTACATAGACATAAATGTAGAATCAGAGTCAGGGAAAAAGCACTTGGTCTATTTAGTCATAGGCCAATCTGCAGATGATATAAGGAAAAAGCTACAGAAAGCGGGTGAGGACTAGAGTATTGGTGAATTAGTGAATATAGTTTGGACAGTCTATCAAAATAGAGATCAAAAAGGCAGAGGAAAGGAGCAGGAGCAGGACGGTGACTACCAGAAACATCGCAAACACAATGTCCACTGTGAAAATTATAGATCTAGTTACCAGCATGATAAGGCTAATGATATATATTCTTTTTGTAAAAAGAAGGGGCACTGGAGAAGGGATTGTCTGGACTCGAACAGGAGAAGTGAATTTCCAGCCTCCCAACTGACTGTAAGCCAGAATGCATGAAGGGGACCGGAGAATTCTACCCCAGCAGAACCTCTGGTTCTAGCTAAGCTGGGGGGAGAAGATGTGGAATTTTTAGTTGATATAGGTGCTGCATATTCCGTGTTAAACACCTTGGAAGGGAAACTGAGTCACGATACTGTAACTGTGGTTGGTACCACAGGGGTAAGTGAAACCAGGCCTTTCTTCAAACCTTTGAAATTTAAATTAGGGAAACACTGGGTAACTCATCAATTCCTCTATTTGCCAAATTCTCCCATGCCTTTATTGGGTAGAGATTTATTAGAAAAACTGGAAGCTGAAATTAAATTCTGTAAGGGGGGGGGGGAAAGTTATCATCCTTGACACTAAATATATCGAGGCAGCTGCCTTCTTCATACAGGAGAACCACAGAGAGATCCCCGCAGAGGTTGAGAATGCTGTCATCCCTTTAGTGTGGACTAGCGAATATCCTGGGAGGTCCAAGCAAGCAAAAACCATAAGCATCACGGTCAAGCCAGGAGCAACACAGGCTCTACTTTACAGAAGCTCCAAAAATTCGTCAAACTTTCCAGACCCATAGGATTGGACACCCCTACTCATCAATTCCAACCAGGAGACTAGGTCTACATCAAATGGTGAGACAGTGACCCGCTGCGAGCCAAATGGAGAGGCTCTTTCCAAGTCCTGCTGACTTCCCTCACTGCCGTCAAAGTTGCTGGCAAAGGACTTTGAATTAAGTTTAGAGCCTAATTTACATTTGGTTTTAGTAAAATGCACCTAATATTCTTCGTGAAAGTGAGTACTGAATTTGCACTATGAATTTGGCTACAATTTGGAACCAAACCAAAATTCTACATCAGGTACCTCTGGATAATGTCTCACTGGGTTTGGGAGACACTCTCCACAAACTTACTTCATGGTTACCGAATTGGACCTGGATAAAACAACTGTTTCGATTGGTAATGTACAGAGTTAACGTTTGTGTAATACCTTATTGCATGAACCAATGTTGTAGATGTTGGTCATCTCTTTGGAAAATGATTAGACGTAAGTAGTAGAGATTGGACAAAATCTTTGAGTTTTGTCCAGTCTCTAAAGTGGGGACTGATACCTTGGAGTTTTGATGTTTTGATTTTTTTTTTAATTTTTGTAGATCTTAGAAGTAGTTATGTAGTAAATGTAGCTTTTAGAGTAGCAGTATATTATCCCTTTACCCTTTAACATACCAGCTACACATAGTAAAACCCTGTTACTCATTCCCATATCAATTCCCATAAATTCCACTGGCCTGTTTTGTCTCTTTTTCAAGGTAGAATTATAGAGAACACCCTAACCCTATGGAAGAAGATATAGCCATAGACTCAACAACCTTCAGGCCTAGAATTCTGGAAGGCCTCCAAGAACATTACGCACTCTGAGGAAGATGAAGATGAAGAAGAGGGGGTCCCAAAACGCCCCCAGACCCAATTCCCAAGAGGCGTGGCGGGGGCAGAACCTGGGTTGTGGCTGGACGAGGATTGGGTGAAAATCATTATAAAAACTGTGAACATCTGTATTCCAGAGTGTGCGTTGGGGGTATTCCGGAAAGCCTGGGGGCTAATTAAAGCCTTTGCATCCTTATCTTATCTCCTACCTAATTTGACTTGGAGTCTTTTTTTCCCCACAGTCATTTAGGCAACAAAGAAAGACAAGAAAGGATCAGTAATATATGTGCCCCAGAGTATTATACAGTGGGGCAAAAGATAGCTTTGCACCTTCTTTTTTTATCCTGCAACACCAATGGACCTTAGAAAATATTACATGGCAGATACATACCCCCAGTAATTGGACCAGGTATGCATTCACAGAGCTTGACTTGCAAGTCCAACAAGTGTCAAAAATGGTTTTACAAAATTGTTTGGCATTAGATATGTTATTACTAAAGAAACAAGGGGTACGTGGAATGTTAAATCTTACTGAAACTGTTGCATTACCATTCACAATGCAACAACAGCAATTGAAGAAGCCTGAGCCAAAATGAAAGACACCATGGATCAAACATCAGAACTTTTTCAATCACTCCAACTCCAAGACTAACTTCAAGGAATTAGCCCCAATACCTGGCTGATGACCATACTCTGATCCCTTGGACTCACAGGGTGGGGGCAGTGGCTATTGAGAATTGGAAAGATAATTGCAATTGGATTTGTATTTTTAATGATTGGAATAGCTATTGTATGCTGTATGATTACTCGTGTAATTTCTTCTGCTTCTTCTGTCTTTTCTCCTACTATCAGCTACATACATATCATCCCCATGGACAACCTGTGAACTGAGGAAAAAGTCCCTGGAAGAGAGTGTTTGAGGATGTGTCAGGACTTAAAGAGCACAATGAACTGTCTCAAAATACTGTCAGAGAAGGAAATTCCCAACAGATAAGCACAGATGGTAAACAGGAAGGTGTTAATTCCAAGGCCTAAATGGAGGTGAAGGTTTGGAATTCCACACTGGAGACAAAATTGCACTGTGCAGGCTGTGGGAAAGTGCAAACTGGCAAAGACAGAAACCAGGACTGGTAAAGCAAATCTAGGTAACCGATCTGACAAAAATTCTGACCTATGGACTGTAAGCCCACCAGACAAAACTCCCACAATGTCAAGCTGTGGGAAAGGGGGCAAGTCCTTATACACATGCCAGCCCAAGTTGGGGGAATGGCATCTACCCCCGTGAATACCCAGGTTTTGGACTGTATAAAAGTGGTATCCCAAAAGCACATGTCGGGACCCTCACCACTGAGAAGACCAGAAGAAGGACTTGGCAGGAGGCTGTCATAATCCATGTGGTGGTGATATATATATATATTTACTTAATCTCTGTCTCTTACTCTCTTCCCCCTCACCCCTTCCTCTCTCTCTCTCACTCTAATATTTACTGTTAAATAAAACCATAGTATTGACTTTAGCATATAGTCTTGTTTGCACTTTAGTTTGGGCAGAGGAATCTTTTAATAACCGGATCTGAACACCTGCCTGTGCTGGTTCACACTTTGGGGAAAATCTATGCATTTAGGAAAACAGTTTGTTCAGTTGTGGAACCACAAGAACTGGAATGGTTTAACCTTGAGGTCACTGCACAGTATCATTGAAAGGAATGTATCATAAGTTTTATATTTCCTTCTGTGACAAGTACAAGGATATATTGATATATTATGCAGTTAATAAATACGCTGGGTTTGAAAATCAAATTTGGCCTTTCAGTTTGGGTATTTTTTAATTTCTCAAAGTGAGAATTCTGCTCTTTATAGAGCTTCCCATAAGCCAAAGAGATAAATTTGTACAAGAAAGCTTCCTAAGGTTTATATAGTTCCTGCAAGCTGGAAAGTATGGAGCTTACAGTTGGCAATGGCACAGTTGAGAGCCTCTGGGTAAGTATTAAGGGACAAAGTGGATGTCATCATGAGAATCTACTATACTACTACCACTGGGTGTGGCTGAGATGGAGCTCATTTCCCCATAGCAGCCCTCACAGTGCTGTGCTTTGCATTGGTAGCTAGAAATGCATTGATAACACATCAGTGTTTTGGTTACTGCTGAGCAGTGCTGGCATAGCATCAGTGCTGTCTCTCAACATTCCCCCCTCATCAAGAGGCTGGGGGTGGGCAAGACCCTGGGAGGGGACACAAGTAGGCCAGCTGACTCAAACTGATCAAAGGGATATCCCATACCATATGATGTCAGCTCAGATATAAAAGCTAAGAGAAAGGGGGAGGAAGGGGGGGTTGGGGTATTTGTTAATTACAGTGTTTACCTTCCAGAGCAACCACTACATGTGCTGAAGCCCTGCTTCCCAGGAAGCGGCTGAATATTGCTTGCTGATGGGAAGTAGAGAATTAAAGGGGTTTTTTCCCTCTTTGCATGTTCACATGCAAACTTTTGCTTCTGCTTTAGTAAACTGCCTTATCTCAACCTACGAGTTGTTTTCCATCTTATTTTCTCTCCCCTGTCCAGCTGAGAAGGGGGAGTAATAGAAAAGCTTGGTGGGCACCTGGCATCCAGCCAAGGTCAACCCACCACAACTACCCATCCAGGATGATGACACCAATGAATTATTCTTTAAAGAACTAAGGGATACCTCTAAGTCAAATCTCTGACAGAAGGACAAGTGCCAGCAAACCTTCAACCCTGGACATGAGGAGAGACGACTTCAAGTTGCTCAGGGAACTAGTCAGTCAGGTCCCTTGGGAAAATGTTTCTGAAAGTGCTTGGTCCATCAGTGCTGGTCCCTTTTCAAACATCACCTCCTAAGGGCACAGGAACAGGCAATTCCAAAATGTTGGAAGTCAAGCAAGTGAGGCTTGGCTGAGCAGAGATCTTCTTCTGGAGCTAAGAAAAAAAAAAGAAAGTGTATTGTCAGGTGACATGGGAGGACTACAGAGATGCTGTTCACCACTGCAGAGAGCAAATTCATGCAGCCAAAGCTCAATTAGAGTTGAAGCTGATCAGTACTCTGGGGGACAATAAAAAGGGTTTTTTAGAATATGTTAACATCAAAAGGCAAACCAGAAATAACATTGGCCCATTAATTGATGAGGATGATCACCTCACAATCAGGGACACAGACAAAGCAGAGATGTTTAATGCTTTCTTCACCTCAGTCTTCAACACCAACTATGGGCTCTGGCAACCCCAGAGCCCTGAGTTGGAGGACTATGACTGCGAGAATGATGAACTACTAGTCAACTCTAAACTTGTGTGGGATTTGCTGCTCCAGCTGGATGTCTCCCTATAAATCTATGGGGTCTGATGGGATTTACCCCAGGGTAGTCAGAGCTGGCTGACATCATCATGAGACCTCTCTCAATGGCTTTTCAACCATCTCAGGAATCTGGGAGGTCCCAGTTGATTGGAAGGTGGCAAATGTTGTCCCACTTTTCAAAAAGGGAAAAAGGGATGACCCTGGTAACTACAGGCCTGTCAGTCTTACTTCATTGACTGGTAAAATTATGGAGAAGATTATTCTGGGATGTATTGAAAAACGCCTGAAAGACAATTCAGTCATTTGTCAAACTAGTACAGGTTCACAAGGGGAAAGTCCTGCTTGACAAACTTAATTTCCTTTTACAACAAGGTTACCCACCTAGTTGATCAAGGGAAGTCAGTTTATGTAATCTTTTTGGATTTTAGTAAAGCTTTTGATACTGTCTTTCACAGTGTCCTTCTGGACAAAATGTCCAGCACACAGCTGGATGGGTGAGCAACTAGCTCATGGGTTGGGCACAAAGGGTTATAGTAAATGGGGTTACGTCAGGTTAGTGACTGGTCACTAGTGGAGTTCCTCAGGGCTCTGTTTTAGGGCCAGTGCTATTTCACATCTTCATAAACGACTTGGATGCAGGAGTCAAATGTATATTGAGTTTGCCAATGGTACTAAATTAGGAGGAGTTGTGGACTTCCTTGATGGTAGAAAGGCCCTACAGAGAGATCTAAATAGACTAGAGAGCTGGGCAGCCACCAACCATATGAAATTTATCAAGAGCAAGTACCGTATTCTGCTCCTGGGATGGGGTAATCCTGATTATATGTATTAATTGTGGGACAAGAGGTTGGAGAGCAGCCCTGCGGAAAGAGATCTGTGGGTTTGGGTTGATGGCAAGGTGAATATGAGTCAGCAGTGTGCCCTGGCAGCCAAAAGGGCTAACCAAGTCCTGGAGTGCATCAAGCACAGCATCACCAGCTGGTTGAGGGAAGTGCTTGTCCCACTCTATTCTGTGCTAATGCGGCCTCACCTCAGGTACTGGGTGCAGTTTTTGTTACCACATGATAAGAAGGATATAAAACTATTAAAGAGCATCCAAAGCAGGGCTACAAAGATGGTGCAGGGTCTAGAGAGAACACTGTATGAAAAACAGCTGAGGTCACTTGACGGGTAGACCTCATTGCAGTCTACCACTGCCTCAAGAGGGGAAGCAGAGGAGCGAGCACTGATCTCTTGTCTCTGGTGACCAGAAAAAGAACCCAAGGGAATGGTGTGAAGCTGTGTCAGGGGATGTTTAGGTTGGATATTTGGAAAAGGTTCTTCACCCAGAGTGTGGTTGGACACTGGAACAGACTCTCCAAGGAAGTGGTCATGGCACCAAACCTGTCAGAGTTCAAGAAGTGTTTAGACAATGCTCTTAGACACATCATGTGATTTTTGGGGTGTTTCTGTGCAGAGCCAGGATTTGGACTTCATGATCCTTGTGGGTCCCTTCCAACTCAGGATATTCTATGATTTTATGATCACAACCTGTTTTAACTTTCAGACTATGTGTACCGTGGGAAAAAATTCTCCTTTGAATTTAAAGAGACAGCAAAAACTCATGAAACAAAAAAAAAAGAATTTATTCAGCATGCTGGGTCTAGTCTCACCCCAAGTTTCCGGGGAGAAAAGACACCTTGGGTCTTCTCCTCCTTCCGATTGGCTGCAAGGTGTCCTCTGTCAAAAATGATGGATCTTCCTTTGTTCTTAGCCCCAAGGAAAAAACTCTATGTTCAAAATTGGCCAAATGGTCCAGATCTTTATATTTTCCTTATCCCAGCTGCACAAGTCCCTCGTACCCAGTCCGCTTGGGAACCAGGTACCTTACAACTTCACAAAGTGTCTATAATTTTGTTTGTAATAAAAACCATATTTTTATTTCTCATATGCACTAGCCAGTTGATGTGCAAGGTAGTGTCTACATTCATATAGCTAAAATTAATATCAAGTAGTAGCCAATGAGATTTAAAGTTGAAAGCTAAATATTCAGTAAAGGTGGTTTAACTTGCTCTGCCCTGGTGGTTTGCACTCATTTTGAACACTTCTGTTTGAGATAGATATGTGGA